GATTGCCAATGTTGTGCAGTATTTAGATGGATTGAAAATAAAGTCTTGCAGCGCATGCAAAACCCTTTGTTGGAACGCTTTAATCTTAACTCGATTAACTGGGGGAAATGTTTTGGTCAGGATCATTTGAGGCTGCCGATGCTTAATCGATGTTGTGCTTGTTAAGAATGAAAGATATTATATTACAGGATAATGACCGTCTATAGGGCGCTCATGTGGAGCGAGCCAATATCGATACCTTTGTTGTTCAAGACTTTTGATATGCATTTTTATTCTGTTGAAGCCTGCATTTTTGTGAGGAAAGCTGTTGGCAACTTTAAGGTGCTGAAGTCTCTTATTGTATTTCGTATTACAATAAATGTAATGAATACCAATTTTAAATATGAATGTAACATTAATATTATACACATTAATGTCTAAAATGTCCTATTTTAGCTTTTATCAGTCAAATTGGCTTTTTTATCCCGTTTTGCCGTGTGTGGTGGACTAAGAAAGAGTGCCTTCTGTCTTTCCAGGTCACAGTGGTGTAAACCAGCTCGGCGGCGTGTTCGTCAACGGTAGACCACTACCAGACTCAACCAGACAGAAAATAGTTGAACTGGCTCACAGTGGCGCGCGACCGTGCGACATCTCGAGGATTCTGCAGGTGACGAGACTGTATGCTTACGCCTGACAGTCAAATATTATCCTTAAATGTTGTGCAAAAGCGTGTTTTCAAAACAAAAAAAGTAAAATGTAGTAGTTCATTAAGTAAAATTAGTGTCTGCTTATAATTGCGGCTTTGAAATTTTTGGTTGTCAAAATATCTTTGTACAATCTCCACAAACATTCCATCAGACTTTCTCGTTATCAGCATCTAAGTTTAAGAGCGTAGTGGCAATTTAATATGACCCTATAAATGGCAATTATTTAAACCATTTACCGTTAAATTCCAAATTTCTCAAATACACATTCGACTTCCCGTTAAATGGTGGATACACATTATTAAGCTTTGTTTTTTAAAGGCTTAATATACCTTCAACTTAGTGTTTCCACATTTCTGGAATTACCCCGCTTTTTGCTAAATTTTAACTTACAGACTAAAGTCAAAATGAATATCTCTGAAATTCGAATGTTAAATAAAAACAATATTTTCAAGAAAAGATGACTTTTTAGGAAGTGCAGCATAACGTTCTCGTACCATTTAAGGTATATTTTTTGTGTTATAGACCCATGCTGATGCAAAAGTCCAAGTGCTGGACAATCAAAACGTAAGCTTATCATTGTTTGAAGCATACTTAAATATTCCATATTAGTCTTAAAATAATTTATGTGATTTGTGTCTCTTGTTTTCTATTCAGGTATCGAATGGGTGTGTGAGTAAAATCCTGGGCAGATATTATGAAACAGGCTCTATCCGACCTCGGGCGATCGGCGGCAGCAAACCCAGAGTAGCGACTCCCGAAGTTGTTGGCAAGATCGCTCAGTACAAGAGAGAGTGTCCTTCAATCTTCGCCTGGGAAATCCGAGACAGGCTGCTGTCAGAGGGGGTCTGCACCAACGACAATATACCCAGTGTAAGTTTAGATTCACCAATGTATAAAGATCATTTAAAAAAAAAAGCATATCTGTTCTCGGTGTAGTAAAACCAATAACTGAAATAATTAAAACTTGCAAATGGGTATTTTTTTCCCGCTGCCTGTACAATATGTTACCAGGTGTAAAGGGGCGTCAAGCGCTCAATGCAAAGTTATGCTTAAGTGTTTTTCCTTCATTTGTATTCGTTCACGAGAAAGGAGACTAGACCGCTGTCGCCTGCGTGCCGCTGTAAAGCGACAGCATGGGAAGAGCCTTTTGATTAATGTCAAACATTTGGGTCCTGTCTTTCAGGTGTCATCGATAAACAGAGTCCTCCGCAACCTGGCTAGCGAAAAGCAACAGATGGGTGCAGATGGCATGTATGACAAGCTGAGAATGCTGAACGGTCAAACGGGGACGTGGGGGACCCGGCCGGGCTGGTACCCCGGAACGTCGGTGCCTGGACAACCTAATCCAGGTAAGGAGAAGAGCCGGATCTACTCTAACACCTATCCCAGAGAAAGCATTGCATATTATTATTATTATTATTATTATTATTATTACTGATGTTCTTGTTGCTGATGTTGGTGATGTTTTTTAATTAAAATGTAATAGGACTATTATTACTGTACCTACTGTTGTTAATGATGTTATTATTATACTGCTACCACCAGTATTCATAATGGGTCAATCACAATCTGTCTGGATGCCATAATATTATTGAAAATGGCGGAATGACATTCGAATTTTTAAATATGACGTCATTTATCTACAATTAATTACATCTTATTATGATTATATTATTATTAGTAGTAATAATAATAATTCACCACAAATCTATGGACATTTTTATACGTGTCGTGGTCTTTTAAATTCTTTCTTCCCTCATATAAAAAGAAGAGTTGCAGAAACGCTTTATTCCACGGTTCGTCTTTTGTAGAGGCTTTTATTTTTAATATTCATGTGTTATTACCGCAGCTCTGGCAAGGATATAGTGTTCAGAACTGTAGAAAGCAAGCGGTTCTGCATAGCCTATCTGCCTGTCAAACGGGTCCAGCGCTTCCTGTGTCCGGGTTCAGGCTGTGCGTGACTATGGTCAGTCTTTTCAGTGGAGGTGTCCGTCCAACAACCTGCACCCCCCATCCCCACCCCCTTCAGAAAAAATCAGTAACAGTGTGCGGGATATCTGGTACAAAGGATGTTTCTGTCACACGCAAGAATTTGTTATGGGAACAATTCTGTCGCTATGTAATTGCTCATTAGAGAACGTTTTGTTTCTCATTAAGGCGACATGAATAAGCGCCTAGTTGGAGGAGACAGCTGTAGAAATGTTCCACCGGAGACCCCTGGACACGATATGGCACCGCTTGCCAATTAGACATGTCGTTTTTAAGAGAACTAAACAATATAAGAAGGACACTATTAAGATACAGAATAGTTTTCGCTTTCTTTAAAATATCTTCTGGCTGAACCCATTTCAGAACAACGGCCAGCAAACACATCCAACACCTACAGTAGGAAGTTAGTCCTAAGAGTTTTAATACTTATATCTGTTTATGTTTCATAAGAACCTCGAAGTACTTGTTCTTCATCAGGCTTAGCAGTGGGTTTTATACTTTTTTTCCAAAAGAAAATAATTAGAAAAACAGAAAGACCTCCTAACAGATCCAACCGCGAGGCAGAATATTGCTCATTCTGTCAGTGGACTATAACCGATATACAAAGACATCCTAGATGCACTTAGTTTTTTTATAAGGAAGTTTGTCGTGTCGTATAGCATATTCAGAAAATGTGCTTCCATCTAATTTAATCTCACTGTTAACAAATCAAATTTATATATATATACATTGTCACTGGAAACGAGTAATCTATCAATAAGATGTTTTTGAATGCTGTTATGAAGACCTTCTTTACAAATACAGCTTAGTCGATTTTAATTACTCTTTTACTCTGTAAAATGTCTTATCTTTCTTTAAAATAGACTGGGGTGGAGAAAATATCTAAGAAAATGGAATACTTCTTTAACTCAATTACTTTGTCTTGAAAAAGTTGAAGAGGCACTGTACCTTTACAAGCAGCTCTGCTACCTCGTTAGAGAGGAGACGCCCGTAGGCGGATTCTCACTAAAGCTGCAATAGGGTCCCCACATTTCATTCATCCCTATTTAAATTAATAAAATAAAATCTCCCGCTGTCTTTAATGAGCAGCTGTCGATTCTTTGGTAAAATAGGGTCTCTCAAAATTCCACGAGAGGCTAACGACTGAAATAATACGATTAAATAAAAGTAGGGAAAACCCTTAAAGTAAAGTTTGAATCTTTTAGAAATCTGAGTCCTCGTAGTAAAATAATATTTAACGATGGTATAGTTAATCAGCTATCTTTAGTTAATCAGATAAACTGTAATCTGAAACAGAAACATCTTTCATTCCCAGAACGGCGAAACATTTTTCACCCTAGTAAAGAGAAAAAAAGGAAAAGCTTGTTTATTTTTTTACAAAATTCTAATGTCAAATATATCAGCTCATTAACGGTTTTGTCTTTTCCCCCTCAAGAATAGGCTGTTATTTAAAATTAATAGGATGTGTATATTCATATCTTGCTTAATGCTTTTTCCTTGCACGGAGCTCGTTTTAGGAGGCTTTAAGAATCCATTACTCCAAAAGCATAAGGAAGGACCGTGTCTCAGAGGGGGACAAATATGGTCTCAATCTGATAAATGCCATGCAGCAGTGAATAAAATAATGGATACATCGGGGGTGACAGGACCCGAAAAGGGACAACTCTATCCGAGGGAAGAAAAAAAACTCTCCAGCGATTTAGTGGTTTTTAGGGATCAGTGTGGCAGTTTTTTTCTTATCTTTTTCTTATACAGGGCTAAAGCCGTCTAAAGGATTTAGACACTTTCTCTTTCAACGAACTCTAGAATGTTTTGATCCGGTCTCTATGGCTGAAAGGTGCCGCAGTTGGTTTGCTATCGTTTTTGCTTTTTTGCTTTTTTTCCGCCTCACTGATTAAGACACTACGAAACTAAGGAATGATTTTATTTCCCAGCGTCTTTTTTTTTTAGAAAACAAATCCCAAACCTAGCGTCAGTTGGTCTGGCTGAGGGATAATAGGACGCACATTCACTCCTTTTTACGGATTAGCCCCCAGAAAGAGTAATAGCGTAGACACAGGCTATTGAACAGCTTTTCTTTTAGGCCTTTTCAGAAACAGAGAAGGAGACATTAAAAGAAGATAACTTAATTGTCTGTCACTCCTTATTTATTTCTGCACTTCATATTAGGATATCTAGACATTAAACAATGCCTTTATCTTTAAAACAAAGATTCTGAGATTAAGTAGGCTACTGTACAATTTGAACCGCGGTTTAGCAGGTGGGATAAACACTGTGTACTGCTTATATAACGTTTCTTTCTCGATATTCTACTAGGGAAAATGATGATTAAGATATTGTGCGCCCGGATACAAATACAATCTCTTGGATATGTGTGGTGAAGCACTTGAATATAATGGTTAAGAAGCGCACAACATAAATGCTTTCTCACGGCATCTGATCTTGTGACTGTAAATCTATTGGCACTGATCATATGGAAAACAGCGTGCCACCACAGAGCCATTGATAGATGGATGGATCGAAAAGTACTATTTTAAGCACAGGGCAAATCGTTGTCCAAAGAAATGAAAGAATTAGAAAGCATAAAATAAGCTCGGAACTTGACAAATCAGGTCGAACTGATTGCAACGATTTGAAAAACTTTGACTGGACTGACGATACAACAGCATTTAAACCCAAGATCACCTGTGAAATAATATTATAATATTATAAACATCGATACTTCACATGCCAGAGCTAAAGCAGGGCCTACAGCAACATCAAACAACAAAAAAATAATTCCTTCCCAAACTTGCCAGCTACTTTTACGCTTGTAGTAAACCATACTGCAGAAGCAAAGCGTGCCTTTCATATTGTTCAGTGAGACTGATTTCCGATTTGTTTATGCCATATTTCTGACGAAAATGAAAAAGTTACTGAAGTGTATTTCTCTAAAACTCAGATGTAAACTAACGTTTCCTGTCAATGATGATCAAATCTAAGAGGTCCCCCCCCCCAATCGCAATTATTGAACAAACACGGACGAGGTAGAGATGTCCTATTCAAAATGTTTGGGGTGTTCTTTCTCCCGTTCCCTATAGAAAGTATAAATCCTAAATGGCGTTGAACGGGCCAGCCCAAGGGACAGTGATTAATGATAGTAGAGCATAAAGGTTAACATACTGAACTGAAAAGTCTGTTGACTGGGATCCTTGTGCTACAATGCAGAGCACTGCACGCCTCGAGAGAATCCTTTTGTTACCTCCTCCAATTGTGTCTTCAAAATTCTGCCCACGAAAGTTTGCCATCCCTCCTGCCCCAAGAGTTTAATAGTTTCCCTTACTCTACTGGCATTGTGTCATGGTGAAAAGCAGCCCCTTCTATTCAAGTGTTGGTGGTCACCTCAATAGAACTACAAACGCCCATATGGTGACTACTATTGAAGTATCTCACTATTTAAAAGGGGGAGAAAGTTTGGGTTTTAAAACATTTCAGAGAGCCTGAAAAGGTTTTACCACATTTTGTCACATTTCTCTTAACCCTTTGAGCACTGTGGCCATTGTTGAACAGTGATAAAAGAGCTGGAAGCAAAGGCTGGTTACATCGAGAAAGGCTTTCCCACAAGATTTTACTACCTGGGCAGTTGAGGAAGGTTGTGACGACCGTACTGCCAATAAGGAGGGAGAGAATAGAGATAATAATAGTCACAGTACCACCAAAAGTAATGTCCTTTAACATTAAACAAACTGATCTGGCACTGACAGGTTATACCTACACGACGCTTTAATAAACTACGGACAGTTTAAGGATAACACTTTTTTTAATTCTACTGGATTGATCGATTACTGTAATATACTCCATTTCCCAGTTTCTATTATAGGGCTTCCCAACATAGTGCAGGCGATCACAAAAGAATGGACTGTCCTCTAAACTAAATATAAATTTATTTAACCGAGAATTACAGCCTGTTCTAAGTGATTCTTTAATTACAGCATTCTAGGTAATACGTGTCAAGGCATTTCACTTTCATACAATAGTTAAATGAAAATGCACAAGGACTCGAGCATACTTTAATTTCAAACCCGAACACGTATTTCCACGGAATGCCATGCGAGGAATTCGCTTTTCTTTTGTTGTTATGAATTTCAGACCTGCTACATTCATTAAGAGCGTTCACTACAATCTAATAAACATAACAAGAAATTGCCTTTCACGTATTAAAAAGAAGTGGGTCGTTTTTATTGCATTTTCCTAAGAAGCCGGAAAAAAAACGCTTCCTAACAAAAGTTCTTTCAACAAGAAACATGCGTTTGTCTAGTACCCCACTTCGTGTTTTCTTAACTACTTTGAGTGTGGATATTAGCCCTCCAAACAGGTTTGTGTAATTTTTCCTTAATCTGTCAGCAAACACTATTCCCAGTGTTTATTATTGTGTATTAAAAAGCTATAGGAAGCACAGAATGTGCCTGGATTTGTTTTGATTTCCTTCCTTATTTCCAGATGGCTGCCAGCAGCAGGATGGAGGAGGCGAGAACACAAACTCTATCAGCTCCAATGGGGAGGATTCAGATGAGACCCAAATGCGGCTTCAGCTGAAGAGGAAGTTGCAAAGGAACAGAACGTCGTTCACACAGGAGCAGATCGAGGCTTTGGAAAAGGGTAGGCGATAAAGGACAGTGACGATTAAGACGCGATCGGAGCTTTAACATTCTTCATCGCCTCTTTTGCTTCTCTCTCTCCCTTGTTTATAAACGAACCGTTTTAAAGCCGACGGTATACTGTTAGATTCCTTCTGGGATAGCATACTAACCTGCTTTCATTTTAAAACAAAAAGCGTTCCAGTTGATATTTAAACGTACATTTTAAATAAAGATTGACAGTGATGGACTATGTATACACTTAAGAGCTAAACAGTTTAAAATAATGTTAAAAACATAATACCAAAACATGTCGACTGGTTTATTATACTGTTAAGCAGTAACTTAATGGTCTAATTCGTTCTAATGAGGTCCGGGGAGTTTGTAACGTTAATTGACACATTTTCTTATTTTCAGAATTTGAAAGAACCCACTATCCGGACGTTTTCGCAAGGGAAAGATTAGCCGCCAAAATAGACCTCCCTGAAGCCAGAATACAGGTGAGAAAAAATGAAGCAGATTTGCTGATTTAGACGTAAATGGCATTTCAAAGTTATGCCAGCCCCGATCGCCACACTTTCAGCGGCATGTCAACACTACCTACGGAGATATGGACTCGCACCTTGTGGATATCCATAAATGATATCGAATGAATGAAATTAGATGCCGCCATTTACTCGGACAGCAATCATAATAGCAGGGATCCTCTGTGCGCTTGCAGGTGTGGTTTTCTAATAGAAGAGCGAAGTGGAGGAGAGAAGAGAAACTGAGAAACCAGAGACGACAGGCCAGCAACTCTTCTAGTCACATTCCTATAAGCAGCAGCTTCAGTACGAGCGTCTACCAACCCATCCCGCAGCCTACAACGCCGGGTAGGAAAAAGATAACAGATCTTTCCGCCTAGGAACGAATGCAATAAAGAAAGGACGTTCAGAACGGGAGGAAAGGAACTATCTAAAATATTTTCGTTATGCACAGTTCATGCTGTCAACTACCTACACATTCACTGTGTAGACATGCGTCGTTTTATACTAGGACAGAACACAGTTATAATCAGATTGATACAAGGGTTAATGTTAGAGGCTGTGGTTGTTGAAGAAAACCGGGGATAATAATAGATAACGGCTAACTGAATGCAGAACACCAGTTTTTAAAAATAAGTTATTAGAAATCTCAGAAAGTTAAACTATCCAGATACCTGTGTTAAAAATGCCTGTTTTTTTTGCACACACAGTCTGTATGGCTAAGTTCTAATTTCTTGTCTTTCCTCCTCAGTGTCTTTCACGTCAGGGTCAATGCTGGGTAGAACAGACACAGCCCTCACCAACACGTACAGTGCTCTGCCCCCCATGCCAAGCTTTACTATGGCCAACAACCTGCCTATGCAAGTAAGTGAATTACCCCTGTGTAGAAACAGTAGGTGTTTCTCAGGAGAACATTCAGAGAGATCCATTCTTTTGGCAAAAGCTTAATACAGTTAACTGTTGTACCAAGTGTCATGTCATAGCCTGTAAAAGCAATATATGTATACAGATTTAAAAGAGATACTGTTGTGCCACTAAATGTTTACTTTTTAATTTCACATTTGGTTTTTAATGTCATTCTACACGCATTTTGCAAATTCTGGGCCACTCTGGTGTTCAAGAGGCTAAAACCCAGAAATCTGCATGTTAGTTTGGAAGGCAAACATCTATATAGTCAAGAACCTAATATATATTCTCTCCTTATAGCCCCCAGTGCCCAGCCAGACATCCTCCTACTCCTGCATGCTGCCCACCAGTCCGTCTGTGAATGGGCGGAGCTACGACACATACACGCCCCCTCACATGCAGACACATATGAACAGCCAATCAATGGGCACTTCTGGCACCACCTCAACAGGTAGGCAGAATCCACCGCCTGCTTGCTTACCATACTGTAAGAGGCAGCTCCATTATTTACACATCCTTTCATTCCATGGGCTGTTTTCTGTTTTTTTTTTTCCCCTTTCATTCATATTCTACTCCATGGTCAACTACATTAACCAAATCCTTCTGTATATTGTAGTTACACAACTACATTTCCAATTCTTTTTTTTACCCAAGGAACATTAGGAATACTGTCTCTTCAGCCATTGAACAATTTCTGTTTAATGCCTTTTTTCAAATATTTATCTACAAAACTAGCTTTCATACTCTCATATAAAGTTATACCCCTTTTGTGCACTGAGCATGCTATCATTCTGTGTTACATCTGAACTCATGTATATATAAATGTCTATTTCTTTTTAGGTCTCATCTCCCCTGGAGTATCTGTCCCTGTCCAAGTTCCAGGCAGTGAACCCGACATGTCTCAGTACTGGCCAAGACTACAGTAAAGAGAAGAGCTACTTCACATTGTGACTTTCCACAGAAAGTTGGCTGTCGTGCAGTATTTTCTAAAGAGAAGAGAGACTCTGAAAGAGACACTTTTGTACTGGGATTGTGCCCCGTGCTGTACTCTACTTGGCACATGAAGACTTGGGGAAAAAAATGGACTTCTGTAAAGTGCCAGGCGTTATATCCTAAATGGAACAAAACTATCTTCGTTTTCAGTTTCCAACCTTTAGTCATTTTTGGTGTATTTGTAAATGGCCATTTGTATGTTATGATAAAACAAGAACAACACTGGATGGACTGTCAAACTGAGTTGGTCTTGCATCTGTTTAAAAAGGAGAACCCAAGATCAACAGATTCTGCCATGAATAGTTTTCTCAAATATATCGAGTACTTCTACCAGTCTTTTTACAGATTGAGGACTCTGATGACGCAAGCTTGTATCATTCCACTGCAAAGCTGGAAGAAAAGACACTAGCTGTGTGTAAGCCCATTTACCTGTTGGTTTTTCCAAAGCTTGTTGGCAGCTAAAGTGTATGTGCAAAGCGATAACCGCAGAAAAGAAAGTGAAAAAAAAAACTTTTGGTAGCTAAAGGTAGATTGTGTCTTCGATATAATCCAATTTGTTTATGTCAAAATGTAAGTATTTGTCTTCCCTAGAAATCTCCCAGAATGATTTCTATAATAAAGCTAATTTCATTTATATTTCCCAGAATATTCTATAGATGTTTTATACACATTTTCATGCATCAAAAGTACATTTTTCTTTAGGTCAGTTTCAAGTTAATTGTTATTAGCTATAGTTGTACTGTAGTGTTTTACAGTCAAATCATTTTTGTGCGAAAAGAAATATCTCATTCCTATAATTAAAAAAAAAATGCTTGCCAGAGTTTTAAACATAAGTGTTTGGAAGTTGTTTACAGCTACATATCAGAATTAACCATTGTTGATTGTAAAACAGACCAAAGCCTTTGTATTTCATTACACAACTTTCTTTTTTAATATTAGTCTTATGTTGCAAATTTTGTAAACATTTTAAGTTCTTTTACATTGGCTTCAAGTATGTTTTACTTCAGGCTAATCAAGCATTCCTTTATTTATGATTCAATACCAAGTACGTTTTAGCATGGAATGCCATGCCTTTAATTATATTTGTGGTGTTTACCTACACCATGACACACAAAGGGGGCTCTTCGTCAGCGCATTGCATATAAGATAAAAAGTCTATACTACTGTCTCTTAAATATTTCAATTTAATTTTATTTAAAATGGAGCTTTTTAAATGTATTTTGTGAAACTATAAAAATCATTTTGTACAGTATGCTAGTGTCTCAATGAGAGCTTTATCCTACTGTTGAACTAACAGCCTATTTATTGGGGGGCGGAGGGGTGGGAATGGGGAATTGTTCCAAGTGCTTGACAGAACAGGCAAAACTGCTCTGTAGCTTGTCTTAGAAATGGGTATTTAAAAAAAAAAAACATATTACTGGCCTTTTCACCCATTTCCTCAGATTCCACTGGTTTGCCTCAGAGATTAGCAAACATTGATGAATTGGAAAACCACAATATGCTTATTTTCACACGATACCTGGAGACATACAAACACCAAGGTCATACAGTCCATACGTGTTTGAAATACTGATACTGAGTATTTTATGCGAAGGCTATGAAAAGCACTGAATCATCACTTTTTGCATGTCTTAAAAAAGTAATCACTCCTAAAAACAAACCAGTCCAGATCAAAACGCCAGTTAAACGAATGATATCAGAGCAGAATGAGTTATTTTGCTTCACTTCCTTGCTCAGCAGGGATGTGAATAAAATAGGAATTCCCATTGAGAGCTGAAGTGGCTGCCTGTGGAAGTGATTGTTCAGCTACTTCCATATTTCTTGGAGAAATATATAGCGCATATTCAAGTTGAAGTAAACCGCCGATCATTTATGAACAATGTTAACAATGATTGCAGATAATTAGCCAGTAATAGAAATTATCCCAATAACAGACACTACTTTCACTTTTCCTCATTGTACCTCTTTAGTATTGTCCCCAAAAGTCTCCATTTTTTTTCACTAGTCAATTCTTTTTCTGTTCTTTTTGTAATTCTTAAGGAATAAAAAGAGTGTAAATGAACATGTCACAGATGATTTTTTAAAACAACAATCATGAGAGGAATGTAAAACGGTGTAGTATAATGCCAGCAACTTTGTATTTGAATTCTAAGCAAAACGAGAAGTGAAGACAAAAATATATTTCGTGTGCGTAAGGAAAACTAAGAGACATATTGTACTTGTGATAATGTATACTTAAAAATCTGTCACACATTTTTAATCTGGTTCCACTTCTAACATTATCTGCTCTCTAGTAATTAAATATTTAAACGTTTACAGAATTAAAGAAACACGATTAAACAAAAATGTCATTCGGAAATTAGATGTTTTAATTTTAAAAAAATATATTTTTTTCCATTTTCTACAGCAAAAGTGCTCATGGATTTGCAGTTAATATTTTTTTTTCTTAATGGTCCCTGCAACCAAATCACATGCATCACTCACCAGCAAAAAAAAAGAGAAAAAAATGGTGAAAGTAAAAGTGATATAAGAAATTTACAAAAATTATATACACTGTTACAAAATATAACATCTTTCTATTTTCACTAATGCAGACAAGTACACAAGTAATTTTTAAAGGGAAGTGAAAGCTTTTGAAAATCATGAGTATTTTTCACACGTTTAACTGAATCAATGTCTTATTCTTTTTCTTCACAAAATGATTTGATGTGAGCAGCATACAATTAAATTTCTTCATAAAACAAGTAAATTGCGTCCCATTACATATATGAAAGCAGATATAAAAAAGAGACGCACAAAGACATTATTTTATAAATGCACAGAGCAAATCTATGAAACATGATGCTATAGCCTGCTCTGGAAAGTTCTGACAAGCAGTGCTCTGTGATTGAGGAAAGTCTTCATGTTACTATAACAGTGATCAGCAATATATCAACATGTATTGCATCAACTATTGATTGAAAGCACTAGACATGAATCCAAACTCTGGGAATGCATTGTGCATTTTTTAAAGGGAACATTTTCCGGTTTGTACAGAACCAAATGGTGATGAATACCTGGATAAATGCTAAATGATAGAAAACAAACAATGGAATATGAGCAGAAACTCAAGCCAAGTGAGCTCCAGCACTGGGTGACTGGTCATCAGCAAATCTGACTTCAAAGCCTTTCAAAAATGGCCCTTCTTCAAGGAATGCAGTTCCAGCCCAAAGTTCATCATGGTTTTGCTCATGTTTTATCGGGTCAGAAGGATCAGGTTTAACATCTCCTGCTACTGTATGTTACACAAGATGTGGTGAAATTGACATTCAGCAAGGGTGTCTCCTCTCTTTCTTTCCCTGACTTGGATTACTTCTTTTTTATCAAGATGCCGCTGCCAGATTGCAAAAGAAACACTCCTGTGTCATGAAGAGATTCCTGAATTGGATTATAATATAGCATCCCATCATGTACTGTAATGGATAAATGAAGAAGACGTTGGTGGTTATGTCCCTCAGCAGAACACCTAACGTCCTGAACTCAATGTATTATTGTTCTAGACAGGTTTGTAAAGTGGGTTATATTTAATGTAAGACACATAATGTGTGTACTGAGTAAACAGAAAATTCTAAGATCTATAGCTACATGTTAATTTATTCTACATTTGCATAGAAATGATGATAGGCTTCATTAGTTTGATTCCAAAATATCAAATAAGCAATTGTTATTGATGAGGACAGCTTGGTACAGAGAGATGTGTATTGTTTTCAAAATTGTATGTCAATTGTTTTCAGTCTCATTCTTTATACAACCCAGAAATTGCCATACGATGGCACTATAAACAAAAAGTATTAGTATAGAATACTTACTATAATATAGCAAAGGATATTTCATATCTAATGGAGTATGATTCTTGATCCAAAATTCATTTTTGCTGTGTGTCAAATATCTAAAATAGAAAAACTATTTTCCTTCTAGGAGAATGCATGAGCATTTAACTTTATCTGAGAATGTCTGCAAAACTCATTTATAAAAATGGCATTGTCATTTGTGTTCCATTTATGGGTCTCATTCAATGTTCCCTATGTTTCTGGGTATACTCACATATAGCTCTGACACTGTCAAATAGAATAATTTAGGGTTTCCAAGGAAGACATACTGTTGTCTTCAAATGCTGACAAAACTACCAAGTGAAATCAAAACTATTCACAGCAGAAAGAAGTTGGAACTCTTACAATATCAGATCAGATGTTCATTTATGTTAACTGACCTTGGTAAAGAGATAACATACACATACTGTAAGTAACACAGTCTAAGATATGGGTCCAACAGTGTTACAGGCTTTATGTTTAATGACAATCCTTTTTCATTATGAGCCTGGGTTTTCTGGAAAAGTGATTGGTTGAAAACTTTCTATTGTGAATATCCATAAAAGTTCACAGGAGAAATTCTGAGGCATGGATAAGCATATCCAACCAAATTCATACAGCATAAACATAAACATTTCCAGTGACCTTTACCAGCATCTAGATCTACCAGTTGCATCCTGAAGACCTTTTCTGTATGATATGTGCTAGTGAAAGAACAACAGCAAGGTTTTTGTCAGGCCTTCCAATCAAACATTTTCAAAATCAGCCCACAACACCCCCACCCAAAAGACCACCATAACAAGCAGCACATCCCATAGTGCCAGCGTTTGAGTTACATACATTCTTTGTTTCCTGGATATCAAGTTCAACAACAACGTAAATACAAACCTAATCACTTGTTCTTTTGCCAATTTCTTTTAAAGTAAATTATTTTGATTAAACTTTTCAGTTACCTTCAGATTAAAGTCAGTTATTTATTTTCTTTAAATTTCAATGGCTGAACCAAAATGAAGAATATTATGCTGTCATACTTGCCCAAGTGTTCGACATTCTCCTACTGTACTTAGAAGATGTATACATCATGCCTTGCTGTTCTGCTCTTATATCCAATACGTAAACTCAGAGGGAATCTCTAACACATGTGAAATATCCAATACAAATCACATGAGTGGCAAGTAATCAGATACTATGCAGTTCTAGTCCAAAAATCTTTTTCTTAAATATCTGTTTGGGCTTGCAATTCCCCTTCATTTTTCGAATATGTTAATTTTATTTTCTTAACATCATGTTAAGCAATAATGAACTTCTGGAGCTATCTGTTTACTTGAGTGGTACAATAACTGACCATGAATGAAATAATTCACAGCATTATGATTATAACACCTCTGGAAGGAAAGCCATGCAAATTGCAATTTCAAGGAGAGCACAAAAACAATTACAGATTTATTTCTATGCCATATTTTCTGTAAGAACAATATCTTAAATGGCATAGTTATGATCCGCTGTGACCCAGATCACCTTACTGAACATAACTATTCGATTGTACTTGTGTACACGTCTTAACAAGCAGGTAACTCAGTACAGGAGTGTTTTACAACTTTGAAGGAAGCTGCCAAGGGGTGTATAAGTTCCTATGACATCCATTCCTCTTCCATGAAATGGTGAGGGTACTTTACCTTTCTATCTGTTTTGTCTACCGGATGTGGAAGTTCTTGCTTTTTGAACGTAAAACTGACTTGGAAGGCTAAAAATATTATGTTCTCAACTGAGGGATTGTACCAGTCTACA